AAAAAAAAAAAAAAAAAAAAAAAAAAAAAACAATTCACAAAAAAAACTATGTTATGCAGAAAAATAAACTGAACAACTTTTGCCTCAGGGTCACATCGAAAATCTTCACCAAATTTAGAATAAAAAATAAAAAATAAAAATATTTATTTTATTTTTATTATTTTATTTTTTTTTGGCCCGGCCGGGCAAGTGACCCCGGGCCACTCTGGTAGCCTAGATTTCAAATGAGAAATGCATTTATAAATGGCAGGAATACAATTGTTCTCGTTTTTCATTTTTCACAATTGGAGAAGAGGTGCCCGAATCCCGTCCAAAAATGGCAAACGGAAGGAGGCTCGTACAGTTTCTCTTGAAAAATGCCTGTTGGGGGAACAAGAGGGTCGTTGAACTAGCTGTCTCGAAAAAAGGAGACAGCTAGTTCAACGGAAAGTGGCGAGGGTAGGGGTAGTAGTATTCGAGAGAAAGGATTTATTTCTGTTTTTTTATGTAAGAAAAAGCGAAGATGGTCTCTATTGCCCTTTTTGTTAGAAACGGACCGCTAGATGAATTGGACGACTAGCATCTCCCTTGTCGCGTACAGTCACACAGGCTCGAAAACCCCACGTTGGCCTAGCTCAACGGAGCTAGTGGGACAAGGTCCCAGGCAAGTTTTGATTATGCCTTTTCGGTTATGCCTTACTCCATTTTTACCTTTTCGAAAATCTCCCGAACTTGTTTTTACTTTTTTCTTAACCACCATTTCAAATTTATCTTTTGATGTTAAAAATATATACATATATAACTCCGACGAAACAGTTTGTCACAGCCTCTCGTTTGTTGTCCTCTTCTCTCTCTCTGCCTACGGTTTACCGGGCAGTTCTATTTGTGACAATATATGAGTCGGTGAAACTCAGACGACGAAACAGTTTGTCACAGCCCCTCGTTTGTTGTCCTCTTCTCCCTCTCTGCCTACGGTTTACCGGGCAGTTCTGTTTGACGATATATCAGCCTCCTGATGAGTCGGTGAAATTCCGACGAAACAGTTTGTCACAGCCCCGCGTTTGTTGTCCTCTTCTCTCTCTCTGCCTACGGTTTTACCGGGCAGTTCTGTTTGTGATGATATATATATATATATATAGTCGGTGAAACTCCGACGAAACAGTTTGTCACAGCCCCTCATTTGTTGTCCTCTTCTCTCTCTCTGCCTACGGTTTACCGGGCAGTTCTGTTAATGACGATATATATATATATATCGTCACACTTCAGCCTCCTGATGAGTCGGTGAAACTCCGACGAAACAGTTTGTCACAGCCCCTCGTTTGTTGTCCTCTTCTCCTTCTCCCTCTCTGCCTACGGTTTACCGTAGGCAGTTCTATTTGATGATATATATATATGGTTGATCTATTTCAGATAATGGGTATGTCATTGTACTTCGGTCACGATGGTTTGTGTATGCAGACAGTTGATTGGGTGGTGTCTGTGATAGACTAAGCGCACATTCATACTACGGCTTTCGTGGATGTATTTGTGCACAATTGACGCCAGATGCGGGTCGAAAACTTGCGAGTCTGGTGTGAATGCTGTAAGCAGGATTTGTCTATGGAATTCTGTGGTCAAAAATGCATATGAAATTGGAAATAAATTAAAATAATAAATATAGGTTCTCATTATAAATGAATAAATAAATCCAGAATTAAAAAGCAATAAATAAATATAGGTTGTTGACTCATTGTCCGTGGGAGTCTTCGGTCAATGCGGTGATTGTGGTGATGCTGCCGATGTTTTTTTTTTTTCTTGTTTGTTTTCGTTTTTTTTCATGCTAATCTTCTCTGTATCTTTTCCATTTTTTTAAACAGATGTCCCGAAGGACATGCTGTCGAACCTGATCTTGATTCTGATGAAAATGAGTTTTGCTTATTTGGTGGGGGATGATGATGGCAGGTGCGATCTACTGGTCCTGTCAACAACTTGACGCGGCAGCCGGTGAAGGGAAGGAAGTTGGGTGGAGGCATCCGTTTCGGAGAAATGGAGCGGGACTCGATGTTGGCACACGGGACGGCGTTCCTTTTGTTCGATCGACTTCACACTTGCTCCGACTATCACACTACGGATGTGTGTTCCCAGTGCGGCAGCATGATCTCCCCTCTTATGCAGACGCTCAAGACCTCACGGATGGGAGCGCCGTCATCTTTCGACACTCCCCTGTCCGGGAACCGGAGACGCATGTCCTGTAAGGTGTGTGGGACTGGCAAGGGTATCGAGAAAGTCGCGATGCCATTCGTCCTCAAATACCTGGCCGCCGAACTCGCGGCAATGAACATCAAATTGACGTTGAAACTGTCGGAATGAAGAAGAAGGGGTCAGCTCTTTCACGTCGGCATACCGAGTGCCCAGTAGGTAAGCACGGACGGATGGCATCGCCACCCGTCCTCAAGTACGTGGCCACCGAACTCACAGCGATGAACATCAAATTGACGTTGAAACTGTCGAAATGAAGGGGAAAAGGGGTCAGCCTTTTCAATTTGGGAACTTGATAGCACAGATAGATAGCAACCCCTAGAGATGTATGTCTTGATCTTACTGCGAGGGCAGAAACCTTGCGAAGTTGAGAATCGCGGCAACGTTCAAGAACTCCGCTAAGTTGGGAACTGGAAGAACAATGCTTGGCGGAGTCTGTGTTGGGGAGAGGGAGAGAGAGAGAGAGAGAGAGAGAGAGAGAGAGAGAGAGAGAGAGAGAGAGAGAGAGAATAACCTTGAGCTGTCGAGCAGTTGAGCCCTTGAGCACGTCTGTCACCTCCTTGCCACAACTTGTCTTGGCATACTCATGTCATGTCGAGACGCACAAGCGTTGTCTCGCGGGGAATGCGGACTTGTGGATGGATGGACGGGTGTCGATACTCCCCACCGTGTGATGATAAGCAAAGGAGCTCTCTGGCGACGTTTGTGGTACTTTGGCCATCGCAGATGATATTGCCCTTGATCCGCAGAGAGAAAAACAGCGCAGAGAACTGTGAGCTAAACGTGAGAGGACTGTTGTGTCTCCCCAGTCGTGCAGCGTTCATAATTGCAGAGGCGAAGCTGCAAAGGGGAGAAGGAAGGAGAAAAGGAGAGAGGGAGGTAGCAAGGAAGGAACGGGGGAAGGAGAGAGGGAGAGTGTTAGGGAGGGGAGAAAAGGAGGGAAGGGTGAGGGAAGGGGGGGGCAGGAGAAGGAATGAGGAGGGAAGGAGGGGAGGAGGGGAGGAGTAGAGGAAGAGGGCGGGAGGGAAGGGGGGAAGGAGAAGAGGAGGAGGAGGGAAGGAGGGAAGGATGACCAAAGAAGCAAAGAGGGAGAGAGAGAGAGAGTGCAACAAGGACGAGGAAGGGAGGGAAGGAGGAGGGAGGCAAGAGGGGAGGACGGGAGGAGGGAAGAGGTGGGCAGGAGCGAAGGAGGGGAGGAGGAGAGGAAGAGGGCGGGAGGGAAGGGGGGAAGGAGGAGGGAAGGAGGGAAGGATGACGAAAGAAGCAAGAGGTGGAGAGAGAGAGAGAGAGAGAGTGCAATAAGCACGAGGAAGGGAGAGATGGATGCATATAGCAAGTTGTATCTGCTCTGTGTCACACCGCTCTGGTGTGCATCGGCGTTGAACCGATTCGTCGGAGACAAGAGGGGGAGAGAGAGGAGTTCCAGACTGTCTCTTTTTTTTTTACTGATTCACTAGAAAGGAGACAAACGGAACATTCACCTCATTCTTTTGTGTACACGGCGATCGAGGAAAGACGAATTGGAATTGACGGGTCGGTCAATTTGCATGCCAAGGTGGATGAAGAGAGGAATTTTGTGAGAGAGAGAGAGAGAGAGAGAGAGAGTATGGATTAGGAGCTGCGTTTTCAATCCGGTTTTGTACAATTGAGAGTAGGAGAAGATTGGGAAGAGACAGATCTATCCTTGAGAAGTTGAGAAATTTGCGATCCTGCATGGTTTATATATGTCGTGGCTTTCCAGAATACCACTTTTGCTTTCAGCCTGTGCAGACAACAGTTTTCGGGCAATAAGTGTGTGCGTCGCCCTCTACAAAAGTGTCTATGATCCCCTTTTAGAAACTGTGCAAAGTGGACTTCATTGATTTTTTTCTTCCAGTTATTGTTCCTCCTCCTCCTGCTGCTGCTTCTCCATCTGCTTTTTCCCCTCCTCTTCTTTCTCCTACCTTTCTCCTCTCCTTGGTCTCCCTCCCCCTCTCCGCGTCCTCCCTTGTCTCATTCTTCATCTCGTATTCGTTTTGCTGTTTCTGCCCCTTCATCTCTTATCAGGTGCTCACTCTTCTCCTTGCTGTGATTAGTACTGGTTACCATTTTATTTTTTATTTTTTATTTTTTTTTAACACCCGGGGTGGTGCTAGGGGTGCTGGTAAGAGCAGACTGATTACCATGCGTGTCTCGTCTTGTGTTGGTGATCAGGACTGACGACGATCAAGCAGGGATGGAATCTGCTTCTATGACAAGTGAACAACATGTCACTGATCGTTCTCTGATTGTTCTCTGATTGCTCTCTGATCAGTCCATGTTGTATTGACCATCAACGAGTGAACAATCACCGAGCAATCAGAGAACAATCAGATCAAACAGAGTTTTTGAATTATAATATTTATATAGCTTTTTTTTTTTTTTTTTTTTTTTTTTTGAATTTTAAAGCGGACTAAAAGCTATATAATAGCCCAAACTCTGTTTGAACTGATTGTTCTCTGATTTCCTGCATGTCGGAAATCGAGGAATGATGATGACGATGATGATAACGACGACGATGATCCTCTTGCTGACTCGTCGGTGTGCAACGCTGGCTGGCGGTTTAATGAAGGATGATGGGCATTGATGGCACTCGGCAAAAAGAGTGAAAGTGCAAAAGTGAAGAACCTTTGCTTTGCTGAAACCTTCCCTTTCCTTGTGCTTAACTGAAATCAAAGGCTTAGCTTTCTAGGCAGCAGTCTATGTGCCTGTACTTGGGCAAACAAAATGAGACCGCATTCTAGCATAAGTTTCAGAGAGCATCTGACTAAATTGGACGTTAAGATTCTTACATGGTTACATGGATTCATTCGTGCTTTTCGACCCGATTTCATCCACGGCCGGAGGCATCGCAGGAAACTGGTAGCGGATGTTTTGGTAGCGGATGTTTTGCATTTGCAAAAAATAGGAGGCACTAGCCCCAGCGTTTGATCAATTAGGAGGAGCCAATTATGATTATTGTGCGAGGAGCCCCAGCATTTGATCAGTTCACGAACTTCAAACAGAGTTCGAATTTTATAGCTCACAGCGAAGTGAGCAATTATGCATATCGCGACACCTTGAACATCCAAAGAAAATAAATACATGAAGTTAAATGTGCATGGGGGCTTTTGATAAACACAGTTGCCATAAATGGTAAAAATACTAAATACTCAATATAACCAGGCTACCAGAGTGGCCCGGCGTCACTTGCCGGGCCGGACCTAAAAAATAAAATAAAAAATAAGATTTATTTTTTTCTAAATTTGGTGGAGCATTTCTATGTGACCCTGAGGCAAAAGTTGTCCAGTTTGTTTTTTTGCATAACATCGTACTTTGTCAGATTTTTTTTTATATTTTTTTTTTTGCTGGGACCTTCCCATGGTCCTTGCACGGGCTGGCCACCCGGGACCCGGGCGGCCGGGCTGGTAGCCTAGCAATATAGTTATAGTTTCCCGAAATGGACAAAGGGAAGAGCACAATTGTAGTACGTTGGGAGTTTTAGCAGGACTATTTCGATCGTCGTCATGTTCGACTCTCTCACTAGTTCGGAGAGCTCCTTGGCGTCCTCACCGATAGTTTGAGCCCGCTCGACACGTACTTACAGCACCCAACTGTCTCACCCGCACACAACGAAGGCAATGTGGCCAGGTTTGTGCAAAAAACACTGCAGGGTGTGCCCAATCGAGATGCAAACCCTCCCACAACAAACATATACTTCACAGGGCGTGACCAGGTTCATTCAAACCCTATGCTGGCTGTCGCCAATGAAACCCGACAGTCCGACACCAGACACAAGAGAGACTCTGCAGTGCGCGTCCAAATTCATGTTGCCCATTGCCCAGAATTGCCGACGTATCTGGCCGGAAACTTGCCATCAATACACAATGAAAATGGCAACGTGTTATATTTGGGAGAGCAGGTAGTACTCCTACCACCCACGCTATGCCAGCAACTGAGCAGCATGACATATGTATCTGACTAGAAAACTTGCCATAAATATGATATATGTATCTGACCAGAAACTTGCCATAAATAGAGCGATAATTAGTAATTAATTAGGCTACCAGCCGGGCCGCCCGGGTCGCCCTGTTTTCCTGGACGGCCTGGCCGTGCAAAGACCAAGGAAGGTCCCAAAAAAAAAAAAAACCAAAAATCCGGAAAAAAAAGCCATGTTATGCAGAAAAATAAACTGAACAACTTTGCCTCAGGTTCACATCGAAATTCTTTACCGAAATTAAACTAAACATTAATAAAATTAAAAAAATAATTTTATTAATTTRTTTATTTTCTTTTCTTTTTTTTGCCCCGGCCGGGCAAGTGGTCCCGGGCCCCTCAGGTAGCCTAGGTGGCCCCTACATAGGAGCTGGGATGGCTGGATTTGGCCGGCGGTGACCCATGTACATCGACTTTTTGTGAGTATGAGATGCTGGGAACAGGACACCGGGAGAGGTTGTAGAAACGATGGGGCCGTGTGAAACGTTCTGTCTAATCTGATGCTCCTCGCACAATGATCATAAAATTACTAAAGTCTACCGCTCTTCTTTTTTCCCTTTCCACTTCTTTCTTTTGTCATTTCTTTTGTTCGTTTTCTGTCGTCCGTCAGGATTTGAGCTCTTGATCTTCTTACAGTTAACATCAAGCAAGCTACGCGAGTGTACCGTTCAGCAGCCACTGGGCAAAACAACTCTCACTCAGTTTCCTGTTTGTATGCAGTCCACATCAACGACTTCGACTTGTGCACCGCGGACCAGCAACCAGGTACATCAGCCAGCAGGTTAGGCTTGAACCATGGGGACGGATTCCTGATCCTGTTCCTGATTTTTCACCTCTCCAGAGAATAGTGAAACGGTTTTCGCCTTCGCAGCAGCAGTTGCAGATTCCAGGGCTCGATCCCTAGACCGTACCCGCACCCGTGTACAGTATCGAGTCGAGCCCTGTGTGTTTGAACCCGCGACCTGTATCTTGGTAGTTTGACTGTTGTCTGTCGTAGGTCTGTGTAGCCGTAGACGTTCAATCTGTAGGTCTGTCGAGTAGGGGTCACAGTTGTGTAGAGGCCGTTCGATCTGTAGGTCTGTCGAGTCGGGGTCACAGTTGTGTAGAGGCCGTAGCTGTAGCAATTCTGAAAGGTCAAGGTCGTGTAGCTCTGCTGCTACAGTCGTCAAAGGCCAAGGTCGTAGCTGCTACAGATCCGAAAGGCCAAGTCCACAGACTTCCGGAAGGTCCGGAAGTGGCCTTTCGAACGTTGCTCGCAGCAGAGCAGAGGCAAGTGGGCAAGTGGTGAGTCCAACCTTGCCTAGTCAGCGGAACCCAGTCCCAGTCTCACTTACTCCAGTCAGCAAGTACGATGCGGGACTGTGTGCACCAAGGGCCCTGGGGAAAGGGGGCAGACCAGTGACCAACGGAGGTATATAGCATGCGGCCATTCATTCATTCTGCGTCAGCCATGCGGAAGCGCTGCCCAGGCGTCTTGTGCGAGGTGGTCTGCAGATGCCCGAAGTCGAAGTGGTCATTACATCACAACAAACCATGCACAAGAGGTACCAAACCAAAAAAAAAGACCGTCGATTGAGTTAACCGAACAACCAGCAAGGTTGATTGCAAATGTGAATAGCAGAAGAGCAACACATTGCAACGAAGACACACTGCAAACAAACTATGAACGGCAAAATTAAACAGGATGAGCACAAGCGAAAACACGAAGCAGGGGACATGCAAGAGAGAGAGAGAGAGAGAGAGAGAGAGAGAGAGAGAGAGAGAGAGAGAGAGAGAGAGAGAGAGAGAGAGAGAGAGAGAG